GAGTGCAGTCAGTGCCTGAACTGTTGCTGTTTGATAACATTGATGCAATGTGACTGCACTATAGAAGTGTTTGAGATGTGCCAAAAGGAGCCCAGCCACTTCAAACTGTAAAGTACACAATACTGATTAAGCTTGAAACAGCTGAACCAACAGTCAGTAAAATAAAGAGGAGGGAGAGAGACCGATCCTACAAACAGCAGGGATAGCTGCTGCAATAGCAGCTTTGTTGGAGCATGATTTGTGGTTTCCTGGTCTAGTTGGCATCTAAACTTTTATGTGGGTATAAAAGTGGAAAGAGGCCATGATATGCAGAGCTGGCTGGGAAATTGTTTTCCCATCCTATGACACTTGTTTTCATTCTCTTCAACATTGCGATGAACTTAAGACCTTTCAAGGATTTTTAGAATGAAAGAAAGAAGCAGGAAGAGAACAAGAGCTCTTAGAAGAGCCAATAGCCCTGTAGTTATGGCTTTCACCTGACATCTGAGAAATCTTAATTTCAGAATCTTGCCATTGTCCTTTACTATCAAATCAGCATCCTCTGTATGAGGGGAAGAAGAAAAGAAGTCTATATGCTCTTTTGGGGGAAGTGTGGTTATACTTTGGCCTGAACATGGGGCTGGGCCTGAATGACACAGCTGACCCTTGAGCTGGGACCCTTGAAGTCAAGTTTAAGTCCTGCAAAATATCAAGCATAGCATCAGAGTGGCATCAAATAAGTACTCTAACAGTTCATCAACAATAGAAGTATGGAGTTGTTAGTCATGGAAAAGAAATGCTTGTATCCACATTTTAGAACCATTGCTAGGTAAAAAAAACAAACAAACCCCAAAACTTTATATTCGGGCATGTACCTTTGTCTTTAGTAACAGTTGATTGCATGGACAGTCTGACCACCATACAGTGTTTCCACCTCTTGGTGAGCCTAAAATAGTAATTTTTGTGTTCAAAGGGGATGGGTAATTTGAAGGTTTGGAGGATGTTTCAGGAAATTAAGGTGTTTGCCTATGTTCTTCATATTTTTCAGTTTTTGCGAGAGGACCCCAGCTAATTGCAATTTTAAAAGACTGTTTGATTTTTAAACTCCCTTCCCCCACACCCTCCCTTTACTCTACTCTCATGGCTTTCATCACTGCAAAGATAGTGGTGTGTATCATCGAGTAAAATCTGTATCTCAGATTTTCCTGTTGTTTTTTTTTTTTTTTTCCAGGAATTAAAAAATAGTTGTTTGGGGGCTAGAGGAGGAAATTCAATTGTAGAAACCTGCAGCTTTATGGGGTTCTGCTGAGCACGACTGATTAATGTTTGTAAGCACATTGAAAATGAAAAGAACTGTATTATGGGAAAATTTAATTATTTTCATCAAGTTATTTAGTTTTTCACTAGCTACCTTTAAATACCACACTGAAGGATGAGCTAACCATTTCCTTGAAAAACAGAACATAAGATTCTTAGAATTGATGACTAACCTGGCTTAAGATAACATAGAGAAAAATCCATGGCAATAGATTGTATTGTCATATTTTTATGGGGGCAGAAGCCAGGTCCAGCATGGTGGACCTAGGCAAAAAGGGCCCAGCTATATGAAAGGAGAGGCTGAGGCCCCCAACAAGGGCCTGAGGAGGCCTGACATTGTCTTGGGGGCAAAGTGCCCACTTGAGTGATTTAAACAGTAACATCCGCAAGGCATGGGCACGGCTACAGAGGAGGTGAGAGGCCATGAAATTAGCCCTTAAGGCAATTAGCATACTAAAGCAATGACAGGCTGGGAGGGCCCCACCTAGTACCTGAGGGCATCATGGCTGCCCCTGGGGCTCAGTCCTGCTACAGCGGTGCATTGGCTGAGAAGGCTGTGTGCACGTAGGGACTTAGCATCCCTACAGGAGAAGAGAGGGACCCTGGGGCAAGGCAAGGGTAGGAACAGGTCTAGATCAGGCAGGGCTTCTAACCTAGCAGCAAGGTTGGGCAGAGATTAAAAGGATCAGGACTGTTCAGCTGAGGCCACCACAGGAAGGTCTGTAGCAAGGGCTGTGGGGAACTGTTGTGAATGTGGACACCATAAAAGGACTGAAGTGCCAGACACTATACCTGCAGCTCTTTTCAGATGAGGTAGCAGAGTGAGCAAGCTATTTACAATGGGTGGTTGAGGTAGAAAGATGTAGACATGAACAGGTCAAAGCAGAAGTGACTGCTTTGAAATAATGCCTGCAGAAAGGGGGAAAGGAAGGAAAAAAAAAAAAGTGAGGCATTTGATTGCAGCAGAGGCTGAGAGAAATAAAAAACTGGAGCGGCTCATAACATCAGAGGTGGAGAAAAGCAAGAAGTGTGAGGAGAAGCTGCAAATGCTTATGAAAGAGATTGTTACCATGGCCTCCTAGATAACCGAGAAAGATGCAAATGAGACAGCTGAG